CTGCAATTTCAGCTCAAAAATGTTTTGGCTGCTGTCAAGCCAAATGGGCAGCAATAAAACATGAAAAATGACAAGGATATAAAGGGGAAAAGAGAGAGTTCAAATTTTCATTTCTGTCCCCTGCTGTTTTTTAACCCTGCAATTGCTGAGCGTGCTTCTCCTGACATTTTATGTGTAAACACATGAAGCTACAGGTTCTTTTTTACTTGCACCTGGACAGTTGAGATTTTTCAACCTCTGCCAAGACTGAAAAAGAAAGAGAAATCAATAGAGGGCTGTCGGGCAGCATTTAGTCAGCAATCACAAGTGCTTTGAAAGGACATGACAAACAAACTGTACCTGTAATTTTATGGCCAATTTTAGATGGAAAACAGTAAACATATACCTGCTTGTTTGGGTTTGAAATTGTCAAAAGAGGAAGAAAGGATGCTGTTTAGTTGATGCTCTTCCAACATGACGGCATGTGCTCACAGAGTAAGCATTGAATTCATCACCACAGACCACAGGTTTTCATCCAAATATAGAAACCTTTTTATTTTACAATTTCAGCAAAAATATCATACAATTCCAGTTTAATTGTACAGTTTGTTAAATATCTAAATACACTTTTACAGTTGCAATGTCAGTAGAAAAAAATATTGGATATTTTTCATGAGATACAAAATTTACACTTCCCTACACCAAAATTCACACACAATACACAACATTGTGTGACTGACCGATGCTGGCCGTGGACATTAGAAACCTTTGCTTTTATAAAATGACATTTCTTTACATTGCTCAACAGATTTCAGTCTGACCACAACAACATGGGGTAAAAAGAAAATTCACCACTTCAAAAAAACAACAAAAAAGGGCAGCACATTTTGCATTGCATCTTATTGTGAATATAGAACAAATGTTTTTTTTACACGGTTAAACGGTTATCAAGGAGTGGATACACAGTAATAAGAGGTTTTAATACTTTATCACAGTGGATAAAAGCTGGAATAAAGCAAATGTAAACTGTCACCATAAAGACTCTTTACTCGACCCAAGTTACACTTTTATGTAATAAAACAAACTTTACATGTGCAATGGAAAGGTACAATATACTCCAATAAGCAAAAAAATTAAATACTTTCAAAAGCTTATTCAATTAAGAAACTAGGGATACAGTTAGCAACATCTTGGGCAAAGCTTTTCCTAAGAGAAAACATTGAAGTTCCATTTTTCTTCAGTTCCCCTGAATCTGTTCCACAGAGCAGTTCATTATCATTGTCATCATCTGCTTCTGTAATTTCAGACTTACAGACCAGATATGTAAAAATGGTTTTCCCACATAAAACTAAAGTCTGAAAAGGGGCTTGATGCATATGTATTATTTCTCCCTCACTGAGAGCATTTGTGTCTGAACCTCAGTGATATCCAGATAAGGAGTCTGTCGTGCACCAAAATGAGCGACTAGCAGACGCTTCAGACTGGTAAGTGTGGTTAGCATCGTTTATTTAGGTTATTTATTAGCTCCGAACTGGCAGTGGCTGACACAGCGTTAGTGGTTGTGAAACATGAAATATATTTTACAATGTTACAGTGTGTTCACATTGTCACAAGGTAGTAAATGGAAGGAAGCTTGAGGTTCCGGTTTCTATCCATAAACTGCACACAACAAGTCTGCTGTCAGAACTTTCCCTATGCTAGTGCAACGTCTCGCTCTCTGCTGATAAGCCCACTCTGCGCTGGAGGTGTCTTTGCCAGTGGCATTTGCAAGACAGTGACTGGCTTTTGAACTTGTTATGCACTGGATCTGGCTTGCCCAGGGTGCGGCTGAATCTCAGATTTTAGGGAATTGTACTCAGTGAAGTCAAGGTCTGACATTTCAGTAGTCAAAAACATAACATAACATTTTTGAATAAAGGGGATCCTTAAATAAAGACGGACTGAATGAAAGCCTGATACTAAGAGCTGTGGAATTAAATGATAAAATATGTTAAGTAATTACTGAGGTGGCCAAAGTGAGAAAAAGGCTAAAAGTGTTTTTTATGAGAGCTTGTATTGTGAGATAGTGCTTAAAGCTGCATTAATTGATATTTTTTGGCCACCTGGGGGCAGAAGAACTCTCCAACAGACTGACAGACACAGAGCAGACATAATTACCTTATAATGTTGCTATTGTTAGCCACAATAAACTTTGAAGTTGTGTTGTGTTTCCAATATTCACTCTATATCCTCGCCCCGAATGTTCCACTGTTTCCACCGCTGATTCTGCCGGTCCGCGTTTTGGTGCTGGGCAGGATGTATTCAGTGGGTTTATGAGATGTTATTTGGTGATAACAGCTGCTGCTGGAAACACATAGCTGTTTGATTCATTGTTAATATGAAATAAAATGGATTAGTGCATCCTTGAGCATGTTCTTGGTGAGTTTGATTCAGATGTCGCACGTTTCATCATAATGGAAAAATAATACCAGTGTTTCAGTTCAGCCCAGAATGTTGCCCTATGTATCCAACTCTCTACATAACAAGCAAGTACAGTGTTTGTGTCAAGCAGTCCTTCACAATAAAGTTGCATGATTGAAAAACCCAGATTGCACTACTGATCTGAACAGACCTTTGCTCATTTTAAAACCCTCTTATCGTGGAGAAAATAAAAAAATGTTAGAAACTTGAATGGAATCGGTGTATAAAGGTCAGATGGGTGTTTAGCTTGATTCTCTATTGGAAACTTGGTTACAGCAGTGACTCAGTGTTCTGCTGCAACAATTCACACTCGCCTCTTAACAATCTGACAATTTACAAGTTGTCCAGGCGTGTAGCCAGAAGGTCAGGGGGAAAAAGACACAGAGAAACCCTGAACTATATTTAACACTCTGCAACGTCAGAATTTTCACAGAGTTGATGAAACGATGACTGATGTATTTTCAAACTGCAAAACAAATCAAATAAGATGTCAGACTGTCATTTGTCAGATAAGAGACATACATGATGGGTGGGAAGTTATGCATATACTGTTAATCACATTTTTTATACACTTTGCAACTTTGGTTTTCAATTAAAACGTCTGAAGAAAAGTAGACAGCTGACTAAAAAAAAATTAATGGATATCATAGATTTTCAATTAGCAAATAAAATAATGGTTGAGCCAGTTTCCAAATCCATGGAAAATACTTGGTCTGCTTTCAGTGAAGGTGGCATCTTGCTGACCAGTACCCACTACTATATAAAACTACTAAACTTGCTTTAGTAAAGGATTTTCCCAAAAATTCCTTTTAGGAGTGAAGCAGCAGTGTAATGTATTTGTATTTTAAATGGACTTAAAAGTTGAATAGCTAATTTCAATGCTCACCTGTATGGATTTTGGAGTTTAAACTGTCTGTTTGGAGAACTTGTACTACTTTTTGGTGGAAATAATAAAAATATAAATTAGAACAGCTACTGCTCTAACTCTGCTCTCCAGGTAGGGACTCCTCATGATTGTAAAGGATTTGTGTTCACAAGCAAAATGTAAGTTGATAATGATATAATGTGAAATTTCACATTAAAAAATCCAGGTTTATTTGGCAACTTTCTTGCTTTTACATATTTGTGTTTCATACTAATTATTACTATAATCATCTGGAAAGGTTTCAATCTAACTTGCACAACAAATGTAAATTCTAATGTGACTGAGCAAGCCTGATTTGTGGCTTAAAAAGTACCTCGTACCCTGGTATGTCGAGGATCTGACTTTTTAGTTTTGGTCTACAACCGACTGAAATCTAACAGAGCACAATACCTATAAGTGATGATTAAAACGGCACACACTGTACATTGTTCTGCTTCATATAATCGGATTAGAGGAGGGTGCAGGCGACAGACCAGAACATCCCAGAACATCATGTCGAGCAGGATTTCAAACTAAATCACCATCAGTTGAAACACAGTATGGAAACAAAAGATGAAAATAAATTTCTTTGAAAAACAGACAAACTGGGATTTAAAAAGGCGGTAAACAACAACAATTCCCTTTCCCATAAAAATTACTTTGGATTGAATAGGTGGGAAAAACAACACAACAGCATCATGTCATGATTCAAATAGAACAGAGGTCTTCTTAGGGCTATAGTTAACTTTTCAAGGCAGGAGGAAAATACGGTGGAAAAAAAAGCTCTATTCACAGCCAGCAGTTACATGTGTGTTCATCGAGAAAGCCGCTAGAAGAGTCGCAACGCCGGTGATGCCTTCGATGTCCTGCACCAGAGTCGAGGTCAATACATGTCCAGTTCTAAATGACATTCAGGAGATTCTCAGTTTTCAAGAAAAGTCACTTCCTGAATTGAGTGAATCGTCCCCTACGCCGATATAGACA